AGCCAGGAGGAAATGCCGAAGTCTGCAGCCGAGCGTGGAGCGGGCGGGGTCGGCCCCCTCCCCGGCCTCCGCCTTAAACAAGCGGGCGGCGGGAGGGACTTCGGCACGCGCGCCGAGCCGGCCTCCCGCGGGCCACCCGGTCTCTCTCCCCGGATTCCGGGGCGGAGGCGGAGGCCGGGGAGCCTCCGGGGTGGCGCTCTCACCGAGGTACGCAGGGAAAATTGCTCGTAGTCGCTCTGCCCAGCCCTCCCCGCCCCTCCCAGCAAGTCGTGGTGGCGTGGCAGGCCAGGGACGGAAGTGGCTCCCGCCGGCCGCTGAGATCTTTTTGCAAACCAATATTCACTGAGTACCTACTATGTGCCACCAGGAGAAATAGCAGCTGGCAAGATTGATGAGGTTTCTGCCCGTCGAGAAGCTTACAGCCTTGCTTTTTAAAAAAATCAGAAAAGTGAGGATCCTACAGTGAAAACATGCTCTGCAGGAAATAAAACTATGAGGGACTGAAAGTTGGCGGCTACCCCAGGAGCCCGAGGATCCCTGAAGGGTGACATTCGTTCTGGATGGGGAGCAGCCTGCCTTGGGAGTGATGGTAATAACAGTGTTTGCAGGACGTAACTGTGCACGCACTCTGTTCTACTCCCTCGGCTCACATGCTGTCCTCGCATGAATCCCAGGAAATGGATACTATTATGTATCCTATTTTGTAGAGGAGGAAACTGGAGCTCTGGTAGGTTCAGCCGCCTGTCCCAGGTCACAGAGCTGTCCTTGAACCCAAGCATCTAGCTCCAGAAAAGCCAGGGGGTAGGTGTCCTGCTCCCCAGCCCCAGGGTTGGGGACCAGGGAATGTCCCTTCCTAATCTGCTCAGAATTTGCGTCCTTTGTCAGGATCTCAGTCTTAGGAAACCCTAAAATAACCTGAGTTTATTTAATCAGTTTTCTTTACTTATTCAGTCATTGCCCCAACCTGGTCCCACTACTATTTAAGGAGAGGAAGAGTAAATGTGATAAAAAGTAGCAGAACCAGGCCCTGCAGGTGGCATGGTGGCTAAGACACTGGGTTCCCACATGGCCAACTGTGGTTCTAGTCCTGGACCCGGTGGCTTGAAAAATCACAACAAATAAGTAGATAAATGAAGGTTTTAAAAACAACTTTAAAAAATATGTATCACAATCCAGCTGCCATCTCAGAACCAGGACCCAGAGGGTGGCTCCTGGGGAAATCCAGGACTGAGCCTCTTAGAAATATACAGTCTACTTTCAATTCCAGCTCCACTATCATTAGCTGTGAGACCATAGTCGGTTAGGATTCTCCACTTCCAAGGGACAAGTGACAGAAACACAGCTAAAACTGACTTAGAAAAAAAAAGATTTGTTGTATTATGTTGAGAAGGGCATGGGATCCTGTCAGGATCTAGTCCTGTCCGCTGGATCTAGGTGCTTCGGTGCGATAAGGACACGTCTCCCTCTCCTCAGCTCTGCTGTCCCCCAACTGCGCTGCACTCTCCGGCAGGTCCTCTCTGTATGCCCTGGCCACTCTGGTCTTGTGTTTTTCTTAGTGCAGAAGAAAAACAGCCTTGCCTTCCAGAGAGTTCTAACAAATGCCATGCCTTAGGGTAGGTTTGGGTTGTATGTCAAAAAGCAACCAAGTAAGAGAATACACGGATGAGCCTTGCCTGGGTTGTATCCTTCCCCCCCCCAAATTCATATGGTGAAGCCCTAGACCCCACTATGACTGTATTTAGAGACGTGTTACCGGCTAAACTAAGTCTAGCTGCTTCTGCTTACAGTCAGTGAAACGAGAGGCAGAGGCTGGAGGAGAAGGGAGTTTCTTTCTTCCTTTTTTAAAAAAATTTTTTCTCAATAGAGAGATTTTTGATATAGGTGAGTGTGCTTGCCAGAGAGACAGAGAGACAGAAAACGAAAAATCACCCCCCAAGGGGGATGGCCATGCTGTGATCCCTTCTCCTCCATTCTCCTCTCGGGATCTTGGGCACGCACACATATATGCCCAACATGAGTTTTAAGCCTCCAGGTCTGGAACTTGAACCACGGTCGACTACATGGGAGTCCAGTGACATAACCATTATGCCATCTGCTGGTCCTGGGGATCTTATTTCTGTAACCAGTTACAGGGAAACAGCCAGCAATACCATCAAACTGTTTCCAAAAGAGTGCTATGATCTCAGTATTTGTAGGTACAAGATACAAGCAGGTGTGAATCATTCCTCCCTACAATCAATCAGCGTCTATCACTTTCTACTGAGTAAATTATCCTGATTCCTTCAAATACCTGTTCCTGGTTTCTCATGTGACTGTTCCTCAAACTGACCTCCTCCCCATGACTCAGCACTTGGTCAGCCTGTTCTCACTAGAGACTTTTCTTAATTTCAAAATGGCTGTAGTCCTGCTGGCCTGCTTCAATAGGACTTTTAGAAGTATTATTAGATTTAGAAGGTGTCATACCAATCATATTTTATTGTTTGCAGTGTATACCTATTTGAAATACAATCCTGTCTGAAGTGTTACTTAAAATACTATTAAGCTGTGAACCAAAGTGATGCCATCTTGGCTAAGGATATAATTATTCCCTTCATTGTTTTGCCTCATGACAGAAGGTTGGGGCCAGCAGGTGGCGTGGTGGTTAAAGACGCAGTTCAAGTCTTGGACCTGGTGGCTTGCTTTCTCACTTTCTCTCTCTCTCTTGTCAAATTAAAATAAAAGAGTAAATTAAAAAATAGGTACATTAAGGTTAAAGGAAGTCATAAGCATGAACTCCTAATCAGAGAGGATCTTGGCCTTGTAACGATGGGAAGACAGCAAGCTCTCCTCACATGTACATACTGAGAAGCTACGCGCGACGCAGTGAGAAGTGGCTGGCTGTGTGTCAGGAAGAGAGTCCCCAAGAGCAGCTGAGCCCTCCCAGCCTCTGCCCTTAGACTTTCCAGCCTCCAGAAAGAGGAGGCACTCAATCTGTGCTGGTCAAGGCACCTGGTCTGTGGTAATTGTCAAGGCAGCCTGAGCTGCTGCAGCTGAGTACCCAATGCTGGAACCAGGGTGTGGGGTCAACCTTTCCAAATCACGGAGATTGGGGAAGGGGGTTCCCAAGGGAAGCTGTGGTGCACTGGCTAAAAGAGGGGGATATCCTCCCCAGAATTTGTGTGTTGAGCCACTGTGAAGGGATTAAGAGGGCAAAACTTGTTCCAATTATGGTGTTAAAAAGTGGGGCCTTGGAGAAGAGGTTAGGATTGAGGTCCTTACGGCAGTGTCCCCATGACTCCTTCCAGTGAATTGATAAGGAGAGGGAAAG